CTTATCCAACACTGTGGACAAGCCGTTAAGGACTGCTTCACATATTCTTATGGACACTGGCCATCCCCAGGATCAACACTTATAATAGAGGTCTGCTTTCCCCGAGTGGCCTTGCTTAATGTGCAGCCACTCATCCAACTGTCACCAATCTTCTTTTTCACTACCTACTACCTTAATTTAGGCTAGGTGATGTACCTGTTGATTCCATTTTGCAGCAGGGGCCCCATGTCTTGCATGGCCTTTTACCCACCCCACTTCTAGGGGTCGTGATCTGCCTATTTCTAACAATCACTGCCAGTCTCCAGCTCTCCAGACTTTTGTACGGCCTGCTTCCCACTGATTGGATTCCCATTGGCATATCCACTCCGTGGCACCCTTCTAGGTTGCATAGGAATCAGTGTAAATTATGGCAGCGCCATTCTCTGCTGCCAGCAGGAGGGCACGCAACTCCCCTACCTGTGCGCTTTGCCAGTACCAATTTCCAATGCTGCTGCTTTATGCTGCCACCTGGATCCCACTTGGCAGGCCGATGCATCTGAACCACACTCCTTGTGTACCTGAGCCTGTGGTCAGTTCAGGCACCTCTTTGATCGGGGAAGGTTTATAGGGTTGGCTCAGCAAAACCAGATCCAGATTCACAGGTTGTTGGAGCTCAGAGGCTTTGACTGGGCCTTCTCTTAATGACAGTAACTAACTCCCTCTAGATAGGCATACCACTTCTGTATCATGGCCTTCTGAGCCACTCCCTCAGGAGGGGGTGACCCCTTGAGGATCAAATTTAGCAGAGGAAAAGGGCCTTGCACTATAACGTCTTGCAAAGTACGTAACCTCTCTGCCTCCTTAACTGTCCTGGTAAGTGAGAGGAGTCCCTTCTCCCACTCCAAGTACCGTTGTTCAGCTTCCTTGAATTAGAAGAGAGTAATAAAGGTCTAGCCACCCCCCTCGGTCCCTTTTGGAATATACCGCAATAGGAGGCATGTTCTGTGAACCCTCATTCTACCCTCAATGGGTCTTGAGAGTGTAGTGGGCCTAGCCTCTGATAGGTCTTAAGTTCATCCTTTAGGACATTAAGGGCCTCTGTATGCCGTGGAGTCCAATCCCATTCCTTATTCTTTCAGAGCAAGTCATATAAAGGGCAAGCATCACTGAAAACCCCAGTATATATTTTCTCCAATAGCCCATTGTACCTAACAATTGCTGTAATTCTGTCTTACTACCTGGAGTTTGCCCTTTTTCAATAGCTGATAGAGTGTCATCGGGCACCACAACTGCTCCAGCTGTTCACCAAGCTCCTAGGAATCCAATTTCTTGTCCAGCACCTTGACATTTGGAAGGCGGAATGTCTAGCCCGTTTTTAGTCAACTGGTTTCAGATGGCTTCGGCCACTTGTCCTACCTGTTCTTTATTACCTCCACCAACTAGGATGTCGTCTATTTACTAATATATGGGGAGGCCTGACGGTACCTCCACTGTGTCGAGGAGTTTGGCCAAGGCATTGTGGGCAATAGTGGGCGAGTGTTTGTATCCTTGTGGGAGTTGATTAAAGGTGTATTGGGTCCCTTCCCAAGTAAAGACAAACTGAGGCTTATCCTTTTCTCTTAATGGGATCATGGAAAATATATCCTTGACATCCAGGGCAGCCATCCACAGATGGGTGGCTGCCTGTATTGCTGTTTCTGTTGAGGTTAGACTCGGGACAGCAGCCGTTAGCGGTGGGGTATTATCGTTTAATCTTTGATAGTCAATCGCTAGGCACCACCACCCATCTGGCTTACAAACTGGCCAGACTGGAGAATTATAGGGG